CAAAACAAAGTTGTGATGGATTAACAAGCCTATTGGCTAGCATAATGAACTATGAAAAGACACAACGAGCCATGGCACTTTGTGGACTAATTTTCAATAATAATGCTTGATTTTATGTTTCCATGTGTGTGTATTGAATTGTATCAATCATTGTTTAAATGCATATAGAAGTTTTAAATTTCTACAAAAATTCAATGCTTATATAAATTGATTATATAATTTTGCAATGTAATAACAAGAATATAATTACTCTAAGGAGTATTTATTTTCCATAGTTTTTACATAAATTGAAATAAAGTAGCATGATACTACTGCCATTAATAAGGTTTTTATAATGACTACCAAATAATATTTATTATGGTTCAGTGTTAACATTTTTGGTTGTTGTTAATTAATTAACTAAAGCAATGTTGTTGAAGTAATCATTTCAAAAACTTTAAACAACATTTAAGCAGTAAGATCCATGGAAAATTTAAACAAAATTGTAAATTTTCATTCTCAAGATAGTTAGAAAAAGCTCACCCAATCATAATTGCAAAAATATGACCCAAATAATGCAATGTGAATGAAATGTATAAACCTGAGATGCAATTGTAATATAAAAGCACAGAAGCACACATGGAAGAAATCCCACTTGCAAGTGCTCTACAATATGTAAAAAAATCTTCACCATCTCCTCCACTTTATAAAACATTACAATTGTTTACAACCATATTACAAAGCAAGTAGTACTAGATCTATATTAGCTAGTAATAAAACAAAAAAACTACAAATGCTAAGCATTCCAATTTTGATTAGAGTCTATGCCCATGAAATGAACATTGATTGTTTATAGAATAACAGAAAAGGAAAATAGATCTTCAAGGAGAGTGATGACTTATGCTAGGTTAGAGACCATGGTGAAGAAAAAAAATAATCTAAAGAGAGATGAGTTGCGATGTTTCATGCTATCTGGGATTGATAGTTTTATCCAATATTTTTAACAATATTAATCAATTGTGTTTTCATTGCTTGGTTAGAGCTCGTTTAGCTCAGCATTTGCGGCAACATTTTTATTTAACAATTGCAACATATTGTTTAGTTACAAAACAAACCGCAATTTTCATGCATGGGCCCCACCATTATTTACGTTCAAAACTCTGTCTTGTTGAAGCAGAAACTACATGATTTTTGACACGACTAAAAGGTTGATGTCTTCTCCCAAGTGCAGGAGTGTCGAAGTAATAAATAACCCGGCAAGACCGAGGTCGAACCACAGGGAGGTTAATTGTACAAATTACAAATAAAAATAATACAACAACAATAAAAATAATACAACAACAATAATAACAATAACAATAACAATAATAATAATAATAATAATAATAATAATAATAATAATAATAATAATAATATTAGTAGTAGTAGTAGTAGTAGTAATAGTAGTAATAATAATAATAATAATAATAATAATAAAGAAAGAGAAGAAGAAGATGATGATGATGATGAGAACTTTGAGATGAAATATTAATGTAACAATTAAACAATGATAATAACAAATGCCAAGGTTAGAGGTTCCACTAATGGTATGTCAAACAAGTATAGTATAAACTCTTATTATTGAATTGGAAACCACACACAAAGGAGGTTCCAATCAGATTATATATTGTTAACATGATTACATTAGTCATCTTATTCAATTAATGCTAATACTTGTAAATCTCGTCAAGCATTCATGATTATAACTTATGTTAACAACAAATCAAGTTCTTTTCATAGCTCAGGTGTCGGTTATACCATACATTATGGGCTATGAAAGTGCCAAGCATTTGTTGTACCAAGTGTTATACAACATAAATCAAGATTAGTCATTTAACAAGCAAAGTATTAAAGAGTGAACAAGATAACAAATATAAAACATGTTAGTATCAAACATTAAGGTCCATATTAAGTTTACACTATAGTTATTCTTCCACTATTAGTGTAACCTTTTCACCTTGACATAATTAACTTAGCTAGACATAATGAAAGAAAGGAAAACAAATAAACAAAATAAGAACATAAAAGTTAACTAAGTAAAGGAAAGGAAATGAAAGGCATAAACTTAATATTAATAAAAGCAAAGCATAAACATTACAAAAAATACAAAGAGAGAAAGGAAGAGCATGATCTTGATCTGGAAACCAAGATGCCTAAATGCATGGCAAATGCCTCCTTTTATAGGCCAAAATTGAGAATTATTGATTTGATGACTAATTGATAAGTGGGTGGCCAACTTTTGACTTGGTGACAATCCTTATCTTCTCTTGTCTGCCCAAAACGTCATTGATAACGTCAAAATTGGAGCCAGTTGTAAACATGAAAGTTGTAGGCAATTGTCTCAGCTTTCTTGTGTAAACAATTCAGCTCATTTGGACTTCTAGAACTCCAGATATGGCCAAAATACCGAACAATGCTCGGGCTGGAAGACAGATTCGGGCTTCTTTGTTGTTGCTACAATTTGGACTTGATAATGGCCTTTTTAGATCTTGGGCTCCATATGAAAGTTGTAGGCCTATATCTTACCTTTCCATCCATATAAATTGGACCTAAATCTGAGATCTGTAGCTCCAGATATGACCCAATTACCGAACAGTGTTCCGGTTTGGATTGCACCGACATCTCTTTTCTAAGTTTGACCATCTCTTTGCCTTTGCAATTTAAGTTCTTAAAGTCATCAATCAATATTTTCATTTATGTGATAGGCCTGCATTTAAAATGAACATTTACCATAAATTAAAGGTATCTTATATTATTAGATATATTATTATAAAACATGTTTTAGTTAAGGAGTTATTGATACTTCAAGTGCAAAATGATGATATAAAACCATGATAAAAATGCACTTTTAAGTATTAATCACTTTTCATAATGCTACATTTCCTCCAACTTGCAATTGTGTTTGTAAGCACAATATAAAATCATTTTTCTCTTCCTTCCTTGATCAGTGCTTTGGGTATGAGTGGATCTTTTTTCTAGATGAGAAAACCATGAGAGCTATTGGAGAGCACTAGAGGTTGTGGTTGTGGTTGTGGTTATGGTTTATGGTTGTTTAGGTCTAGGTTCTTTTGATTGGACTGGTGTGTGTTGGTCGATGGGGTATGCTGAGCTGATTGTTGGTCAGGGGAATCTAATGGGTTAATAGTTTACAAAGATGCAGATGGGTTTTAGATGACTAGGTGAGATGGATTTTTAGGTCTATATGAGGGAGACATAGGGTTGGCTATGTGGTGGTTTGATGGTTGGGTCGGTTCACTATAGGCATGCTAGTAGTGGAAGATATGAGAGGCTATTGGGTTTGTGAGGGAGAAGGCTGATTCATGGAGGTAAATAGGTGAGGGCTAGTCTTGATGAGGGGTTTGGTTAATGACAGTATTGGTTTTGGTTCCAGTGGAGGTGCTACTAAGAGAGGAACATAGTGGAAGAAGGAGATGGCAGTAAAGAGAGACGTTGTGTGCGGTGGTTAATTTCAGCTTTAGGTAGATTCTGCAAGAATGGAACAATAAAAAACTATCGAATTTGGTGTCACATGTCAACCACCACATTATATTTATGAATTTGTTACACCTAGGAAGCTATAGAAACTACAGTTCTTGTTGAATAGATTTTACATGTAACGGAATTGTAAATAGTTTAATGTAACAATAAAAAATACTTTTATATAAAGTATTTTTTATTTCATGATGCAATAGTAATAGTTAAATATATAATATTTCAATTAAAAACTATTAATATTAATATATGTCTATTTTAGTTATTTTATAATGTCAATTTGAAAAGTATTTTTAACCAAACATAATTAACTATTTTTTATTAAACCTCAATTTCAATCATAATTTTAACAAAAAATATATTTTTCTAAACCAACCTCAATTTAAAATATTTTTTATAAAATATATTTTCTCAAATTACAATAATGACAGTTACCTCAATACCAAACCAAAGATACTAATATCTCCCAATCAGATATTCACGTGAGAAACTAGAACAAAAATGCTTCTCGTTAACCGCGACCATACCTCTATTTTTATGTGGGGGTCCACAAGCTAAACCTTCGTTTAAATTTGTTACTAAACCTTAGTTTAAAAGCCACCACTCTCCTAAAAACATACTATGTAGAAGATGACTTCCTTTACAATAAGAATCACGTTCAAGAAACAAATGAAAATGAATCCGTGATGTCATTCAAATTACCACATTCATGTGAATAAACATCTGATACTAAGAATCTAAATAACAAGTATATGTAGAATTTAGAATAATGAGTCAATTAAAATCTTAAAAATCACTTCCAAAACACGTTTAAGTTAGTCGCACATGCATAGTTTGCTGTTGGCTGAGTAGATGGGTCTTTGATGATATAACAAGTGCATCAGATGAAATCTTATTCCCTGAGATCAAGGAAGACTGGTGGCCAACAGTAAATAAAGGAAATAGGACTTCCCCACAACAATCCTGTGCAAGGCTCACATGTGAATCAAAGATACACAAAGGCACCACTGACAGAACTGAGGCAGACGACCACAACCTTCACACCCACATGTCTTGAACTCGAGAAAATGACAAGGAAAGCGAAAAAACATAAAGAAACTTTCATGTGATAAACATGATACGTGAACAATGATAGTTCTACTAGATTTCAAGTGTTCATTTTCACTTTCAAAGCTGACAAAAATGTGAGAAATTGTATTATTATGGTGAGATTCATTAATAATTTTCATAGGTGGTCCCATGACTTGTGCGAGCGCAGAGAGCAGGTCTTTTCATGCCTAAGAATTTGTTTTCCACCCTGAAGACGTATGTGTACAGTGAATTTCAATTTTGATTTACACAATAACGATAATGAATGGATGGAATAGATGTTTTCGTACCCTTAACTAACACGGAGGATAAAACTCAAATTAATGATAATTGCCTCGGCCTCAAAACTTGACCTTTTAGATGTCCGTTTATCTGCGGACGTTGCATAAGAAAACAAATTCAAGACATGGAAATCACAGATCATAAAACTCATTCAAAGGCAGCAGCTGCACGATCTGGAGGGCTAGTGAGAAAAATATCAAGAAGTTGATCGATCGTTCTAAATTCGAGGTCTGGATATAGCCCAGAAGCCTCCAAGTCGTCCTCTCCCAGTTCAAACCCTATCGTGTCACCCTTCACCAACAAACTGTGAAGAATAGAAACTGGGATATTTTGTGGATGTGGAAGGGCTGCAACAGATGTTAGCAAGAAGTCAAATGCTTTTAAAGGGTGAAAAGAAATCACCTGAAAATGTAGGTTTGAGATAAAAGAATTATATAGAATCGAAGAATCCCATTAATCAAATGAAAAGGGCAAGAAGCCAAAGTATATCAAATATTAAAAAATAATGAGTCAACAGAAATTTCTTACTCTCAGAGAGCTTCACTATCTCATCCTCAGGGACGTAAATCCTATTAAATGTCTTTCCAGTCTTCTTCTCCCAAAGGGAAATAAGTTCAAGCTGAGTAACAATGTTCTTCTGCGGCCGACAGATTACAACTCGATTGCATGTTTCGGGGTCATCAGCTATTTTGATGGTGTACTTGGCTATATCTTCTTCATAGTTCATCACCGCTGTTAAACATAATATATAGATACTGATGTAGAGTACGTGTACAGTAAATTTGAATTTTGATATACACAGTGACGATAATGAATGAATGGAATTGATGTTTTCGTACCCTTAGCTTCACCAGAGCCATAGACAGTGATATCTTGAGGTTGCTCATGTGGACGGAGCAAGTAATTGACAAAGTATGCACCAAAGCAATTTGCTGACACAAAAGTGTAAGGGATTCCGGCTTCCTCTGTGGCCCTTCTAATCTTCCTCTTGTTCTCAAGGAAAGCTTCAAATGGGGGCAAGGGAGTCACTCTGTCCTCTTCAACTCCAAAGTCTGACGGAAAGAACCTCTAGTATGCACAGAAAATTACATGAATAAGCTTAGCTAGCCCACCAGACATGCACATAACTATATATAACACTCTCCAGATTGTTGTCCTTTAACAAGAGGATATATACCTTTATATTACCAGCAACTTTCATGGCTTCTATGATTTTGAGCTGGTCGAGAACCTGAGGATAAGCTAATGTGGAGATTACTACATCCACTTGACGAAGAACCGATACAAGTTTCTCCTGCTCATCGAATTCTCCCTGCAACACTTGAAAACTATTTAGTTATTAAACGTCATTCTTTTGAACACGTAATGTAGAGTGAAGGGTAATCAATATGAATGTTTGTAAATTAGAAAACGAAGGGGTAATTAGATTAATCACTATATACTTGAACAATGGTGACCGCCATGGCTTGGAATTCCTTGTGGATGCCTATTTTAGCTGGAGAAGATTGTGTGGTGATGGGACGAGAATATATGTAAGTTTTGTGACCCATTGAAACACTTGCTTTCACCATATACTTGCCTAAGTAGCCCGTTCCCCCAAATATGAGGATCTTGCTCATCTCATTCTCCATTGCCTGCTCTCTCAGAAAGCACAACTAGCTATTAATCTACCTCACCCGCTAGATAATTTATAGAGCGGAAAATTGACCTCAGGTTACTGTGATCATACGCCCCTCTGCTCTTAATTTTGTGTTTAAAAGATCCAAAGTCTTTTTGTCTTTTTATTTTACAATTAATTAATATCATCATGTCCCTAACAATTAATTTATTATTAAAAACAAATATAAAACTATCAAACACTAAACTTTCTCAAAATTATCAAAATAAATAAATGTTAATGTTAAAAAAATCAGTAATATCATAATAATATCAAGAATAATCATAATAAATAACCACATTTATGATCAATTAATCATTACAAGAATTTTTATATTTATCAAGGAAATTTTTTGTTCATATTTGTATTATCTTTCTATCAGTAATTGATTCACTGATAAGGTTACATATAGAATGATGAAAAGGAATTAAAAAAAAAAGTACAAGCCTTCTTTAGACCAGTAAATATGCGCTTTGCTTTCAATTTCACACACTATATAAAAAGACTAGCTTTATCTCTTTTTCTTAGAAGCAACCTTTATAAAATAAACTATTAAGATAGCACTCATCCCGATTATTATTAAACCGTGCTTGAAAGCATGAAATTCTATTTTTAACCATTATATATATGGGTGATTTTATTTATAATATTTAATTTAAAATTTTAATTTAATTAAAAATTCTTAGAAATTTCCAAACATTACCAATAATTTTTCAATTCGTTAGTGATTCTGTCTATAATATTTAATTTAATAAAAAAAAATTAAAAACCATCAAATAACTCCGATGACTTTTCAATTCATTTGTGATTTTGTCTGTAAAGAACAAAATTCCATTCATGATTCCCTTTGTAATTTACATAATAAACAGTGTCAAGAGAAATGAACAATTTACCAATAAGTTTACAGAAAGATTTTATTAACAGCATTAATATCATCGGTAATTCCATTAGTATAAATGACATGTTATTGTATAAATTGGATTTGTTTCAATTCCTTCTTTTTTCACTGTAATTCTCTCGGTATATACCAATGAAATATTTCTGTCGGTAAAACTCACTACAATTTACATATGAAAATATTATAGTAGTGTTTTTGTTTGTAGTTATCAATTTTCTAATAGTGAATCTAACTCAATAAAATTATCTAGAAGATCAAGGAATGAATATTATTTTGAGATAGAATTTATTCCTATAATATCATAAATTTGCTATGAATCTTTTGAATTTTTTTTCTTAACTATTTTTAGGTTAAAAACAAAGAAATAGTATTTTTTAACAGAAAGAAATAATAGAAAGATTATTATAATAGATGTATGATAATGGATATGCTTATTTAAATTCACTTAACTTTTACCTTATTCATCAACACATTTAAGTTATTAGATTAATTTTAATCAAGTTTATAATTTGACAAGGAGGGACTCAATAAAGAAAATTAGGTCAAAGACTAAATTATACTTATTCTAAAATATGATGAATAAAAAACAATAAATTCAAAACTTTATTATATATATAAAAATAAAATATAAAGGCCAGAGTAATTTTTTTCACAAAGACTTGAGATTGATTATGATGAAATATATTCTCTTGTAGTAGATGGAATTACATTTTTGTATCTCATTAGCCTAGCAACTCATGAAAAGCTATATATATGTATGATGGATGTAGTCACAACCTATTTATGTGGTTCAATTGATAATAATATTTATAAGAAAATCACTGAAGGATTTAAAATGCCTAAACCATATAATTCAAATTCCCAAAAAGTTTACTCAATCAAGTTATAAAGGTTCTTATATGGGTTAAAGCAATCAGGATGCATGTGGAATAATTATGTTAATGAATATTTATTAAGAGAAGGTTATAATAATGATCTTATATACCCATGTGTTTTTATAAAAAAGTCAGAATATGATTTGTTATTATTTTTATATATGTTGATGATTTAAATATTATTGAAATTCATAGAGAGATACCAAAAATAATAAATTATTTAAAGAAAGAGTTTGAGATGAAAGATTTAAAAAAAAAAACAAAATTTCTCGGCCTGCACATCAAGCATTTAGCAGATAAAATTCTCATTTATCAGTCAACTTGCACAAAAAAGATCCTTAAAAGATTTTATATGGATAAAGCACATTCATTAAGTACATCAATAGTTGTTCGATGACTTGAAGTTAAATAAGACCCTTTTAGACCTCATAAGGATAACGAATAATTACTTGGTCCTAAATTATCGTACTTTAGTGTAATTGGTGCGCTAATGTATCTTGCTAATAATACGTGACTTGATATAGCATTCTTTATGAACTTGTTAGCAAGATATAGTTCTTTTCCTGCTTGGAGACATTGAAATGAAATTAAACATGTTTTTCATTATCTACAAGGAAATTCAAATACGAGCTTATTTTATTCAAATAATTCTAATCATAAAATAGTTAGGTATGTTGATGCATGATTTTTATCTGATCCATATAAAGATCGATCTTAAACAGGTTATCTTTTTACATGTGGTAATACTACTATATCATAGAGATTTACAAAGTAAATATTAGTTGCCACTTCATTTAATCGTGTTGAAATACTTGCAATCCATGAAGCTAGTCATGAGTGTGTGTGGCTGAGATCAATGATAAAAACATAATTATGGAACATATGGTTTATCCTCCAGCAAGGAATTTTAACCATATTATATGAAAATACTATTGCATGTATAACTCAATTAAAGGGATGATACATCAAAGGAGATAAGACAAAGAATATCTCACTAAAATTCTTCTTCACATGGTGACATTGATATTCAACAAACTCACTTGAAAGATAATCTAGCAGATTTGTTCACTAAAGCATTATCAACTATAATATTTAAAGGATTGCGATGCAATATTGAAAGGAAATAGTTTAAAGACTTGAAATGATATTTTAATTAGGAGAAGTTAATATGCACTGCATTGTTTTTTATTTAGCCTAGGTTTTTTCTTATTAAGTTTTCCTAGCAAGGTTTTTAATGAGACAGCTGTTAATGTGTAAGGTTGTACAATAGATATTTAATAGGAAGTGTTATAAAATTATATATTGTATATATATGTCTAAATACCTTCCTATACTTCTTATATCTTTGAGCTTTATGTATATGTAATTATAAATAAAAGTATTGTTGAGAGAATGAGATATACACATATTACTAGAAATTCATATAAAATAAAAGTGCTCTCACTTCATCCCTCTAATCTCCATTGTTCTTATATATTCTATTTATTTTTTATTAATTATACTATTTTATTATTCTATTTTTTTTTATATATTGTTTTACAACAAAATACATGATATTAAAAGATGAATTTACAGTTGTACTTTTTAAATTCAAGGGAAAAAAATGAATTGAAGGATATGAAAAAAAAAAACATGAATCAAATTGTACTTTTGTTTTTTACAAAAATAAAATTTAGTAAACTTGTACAAGTTTTATTAAATTTAGTTTATATGAGATGATAAGGGGAAAAAAAAATACTATAACATCAAATTTATAGTTGCTAAATTTTATTGATGAATTCATTTAATTATAATGGCTGAAATTATGCCTTAAAAGGAGCTAATAAAAAATATAAAATAAATACTTTAATTTTGTGTTTTGTCTTTTTAATTTTTTGATATATTGAAGATCATGCATGCTTTGAAAGTTTTTTAATTTAACTATAATTGTATTTTTAATTAGTTTACTCGTTAATCTTGATTAAATTTTTCTAAATTATTTGAAAGATAGCCCTGTATTAATTAGGGACATGAAAAGAAAATTATTATTTTCTTAAAAGTTGGCTCCAAAATTTGTAGTGTAAACAAAAAAAAAAATTAAAACAGTCATACTTACTGAAACAAAATCCCTGATGCCTTATCACACAATATACGTTAATGGTTTTATTATTCCTTCTTTTATGTTAATTGTCCCAGGGATGCAAATTAGATCTCACTATGTGACCCGTGATTTGTAATAGTTCAAATATTTTTATTTTTTTTATAAAAAATATATATGTAGATTTTGGTTTTTTCAATGTATTTTTATAATTAAAAAAAATATAACTAATTAAAAAATTTATACTTACATGTAATCAAATAAACTAAGAATTATATATGCTAATAAACAAATAAAAACTTATAAATGATACCTAAAAACAAAACTTAAAAAATCAAGAGATGAATATAAATTAAAACATTTAATCTTAAAAAATAAAACATTAAATTGATTGAATAAAAAAAAAAAGAAATAACATGTATGGCTATACATATTAAAACTATTATCTAAAAATAAATATTTTTATTTTCAAAAATATAATTTATCTATATAAAAGATAAAATTAAAACCATAAATGAACTAGAAAAACCTTTCCAAAAAATAAACACATAATAAAAAAATCAATATTATTTAAAAGAGACCTCTAAATAAAATAAAATAGAGGTTTTGTTCATTTGTTTTATTTTAGTTTTTTAACTAGTCACATCATTTTATTTCTTTTCAATTTCATTCTTTAAAATTATATTTGTATGGTAACCATGCCAGATCCAAAACACTTGAGTTTGACATACTATGAGACTCAATCTATATCCTTGGATGTAACAGTCATATCAAACCTAATATATGCTTTTAGGTCTAACATCCACACCAGACCCAATCCGTTTAGGTTTGACATGACTATTTGACCCAAGCATCTTGGATTTAGAATGATTGTCACACCCATGGTAGGTCAGACATGTCAACCAAACTCATGGTTATGGGTCTGACATGCCTGGTGACACGACTAAAAGATTGATGTCTTTTCCCAAGTATAAGAGTGTTGAAGTAATAAATAACCCGGCAAGACCGGGGTCAAACCATAGGGAGGTTAATTGTACAAATTATAAATAACAATAACAATAACAATAACAATAACAATAACAACAACAACAACAACAATAATAATAGTAGTAGTAGTAGTATTAGTAGTACTAATAATAATAATAATAA